AATAAAAAGAATGAGCGAGCAAATATTTGTGCATAAATATTACGATCGCCTACTTTGAACCATTCCACAGTAGCACGCAATAAGCCTGGAAAATATTTGTCGACATCACCAATGTCATTCATCTTTTCTGCCAAAGGATCGTTGACATCAATAGTAATTATTTTCCAATCTGTTTCGCCTTCGTCGATTAGAGCAACTGTGCCTAGTACCTTAACCTGAATCACTTCACCACGGTTAGCAACACGATAACCGATTTCCAATACATCAATTGGATCGTTATCACCTTTACAACCAGTGGATGGTTCGATATGTCCGGGATTTTCCCAAGTTTGTGGGAATGCGCCATAGTTCCAAATGTAACCTTTATGTGGGAAGCAATTAGCTACAAAACGCAGTTTGCCCTTTTTAACGTCCTGCTTAATAGGATTCAATGGTGTGTTTGTGCTAATCTATAATTAATTGCAAAAGACGATACATGCAATGCACGAATCAATTTATAGCTGACAATAATAAACATAACTGCTTACAAAAAGTAATTAGACATACAATAGTATCAATTAATCCTACATCCATTAATTACCTCCATCTTAGCGTTTGTCCAACGTGGGATTTCAACCACCATATTTAGGACAGTCTTCTTTTCATCGNTTTCCAATCTGTTTCGCCTTCGTCGATTAGAGCAACTGTGCCTAGTACCTTAACCTGAATCACTTCACCACGGTTAGCAACACGATAACCGATTTCCAATACATCAATTGGATCGTTATCACCTTTACAACCAGTGGATGGTTCGATATGTCCGGGATTTTCCCAAGTTTGTGGGAATGCGCCATAGTTCCAAATGTAACCTTTATGTGGGAAGCAATTAGCTACAAAACGCAGTTTGCCCTTTTTAACGTCCTGCTTAATAGGATTCAATGGTGTGTTTGTGCTAATCTATAATTAATTGCAAAAGACGATACATGCAATGCACGAATCAATTTATAGCTGACAATAATAAACATAACTGCTTACAAAAAGTAATTAGACATAACAATACATACAATAGTATCAATTAATCCTCCATCCATTAATTACCTCCATCTTAGCGTTTGTCCAACGTGGGATTTCAACCACCATATTTAGGACAGTCTTCTTTTCATCGGCATATAGTGGAATGTCGTGCAATGGCGAAACGATTGCTCCAGTCTGATTCTCTAATATGTGAGAAATTGATTGAAAATCAATTATTCTGATGAGAAAAGTTACTGCTTTATACAATATCTATCGAAAATGTCTAGCATAGGCCAATATAGGTAAATAATTTAAAATTAAATTGTCTACCTACCTTATTTTTAAAGATCATAATCTGTGTCCCTAAGCACTATGCACACATTCGCTACATGTTCTAGATTTCTACTTGTTTTAAATGAGATTCATCTTTAACTGGAAACTATTTTATTAGTAAACGCTGATAACGTATTTTTTTTTTTATTTCACTAGCATTTCTATCAAATAAAGTTGATTTTATCGTCGGGAAACAAAAAGCGAATAAATCAAAGTCCGCTTTCAGTTGTGGCTGTAGTTTTTTTTTGTATCATGGTTTTACCTACGACTTATGATTTTTTAGTTTTTTTTTTGTTTTACTTATTGACCCACTGACATTTTTTTTGTTTATTAGGTATACATAAATGTAAATGTGGATGATCCTCTGCAATAACGACACAACTCGAAACTAAAAAACTCCCTGCAGAAGTTCGCGATTAGGCACTATGGATCATACGTTCAGATACATACAACATCAACCGGCTTATCAAGATTTACATTATATAACTACACAAACCGAGAACAAATTACTACTTTTAACATTCAAAGGTCAAATAATTGCAATAAGTTGATTGATATGCAACGTTTTCTACATACTTATGTATGTACATATGTCCCATATGCACTTACTCAGGTAAATGCTGTAGTTAGTCGAGTTGGGTGCTCCCTTCTCCACAATTGTGTACTCAGTCATCTTATAGCCTTTCAGTTGCTTTCTAATATTCGCGTTCGAAATTTGCAGGTATTTCGCTGATTGCGAAATCAAACGCTTTTGAAAATTGTATAAACGATTTGTATTTTCTATAGCTGCAAATTTTAGAGACGCCGACGTCAACGTTAATCGCCCCAACACGTGCGCACTTCGCCCGATTAGCAAAAATTTTGTGAATGTCGATGAACAACTTGGCATTGCAGTTTAATTCGGCTAGTCAAAAAGCACGGCGTTCAAATCTAATTGGAACTACAATGCCGTCAATAAAGTTGGCGCAACTGCGGTATTGGGTTGTTGTCATCGGCAAATTCTAAGTAGAAATTCACCATAGTTGGACGCTACTGAATTAAAATAACTTATTATTTAATAATAGGCCCTATTGCGAATTTCACGTGAACAAATATTCCCAAAAATTATAAAGCAAAACAAAAACAATTTTTCCCAACTTGTTTTTGTTTTGCATGTTAAATTATGGGAACAATTTATTCAAATGAAATTGGCGATAGGGCTGAATATTTAAAGGCTGANCGTGAACAAATATTCCCAAAAATTATAAAGCAAAACAAAAACAATTTTTCTCAACTTGTTTTTGTTTTGCATGTTAAATTATGGGAACATCGTTGGAATTTACGTGCAATAATTAAGGTGCTACGTATAAGCAGCCCTTATGGTTTTTNGAACGTTGCTGATGATATGTTGACGTATATTTCAAACGCATTCTGTTTATTCCGGGTGTGAAATTGGATTATCCGGAATGTATAAAGAAACGCAGCCTATATGAATTATTCATTGTTATTTCAGATATTTATAGAAGGTGTTATAGTACTGGTTATTTTCATTTTGTTCTATTCATATTTTACAAGTCGTTGGAATTTACGTGCAATAATTAAGGTGCTACGTATAAGCAGCCCTTATGTTTTTCACACAATGGGTGCGTTCGTTTAAATTTTTAAGGCCTGTATGCAGCTCTCAAGAAAAGCAAAAACTCCATATAAAATTACGTACAAGAAATGGCTAAGAAATTTTCTTGAGTCAAATTTCCTTAACTGCCCGTCTCCACAGGATAAAGTTTATATCTTGATACATATGTCAGAATATAATTTGCCAATGGAGACCGCTCATTGCTCTTCGAGAGCAATATATATCAGAGCTTATATCTTGCCATCTATTGCCGGCAATTTGGTAGTTTGACAGCTACATTTTCATTTGCACGAAAACTTCGTGGCTACAACATCATTATTATTTTAATATAAAAGCAAAAATTGAGCTGCTTCCTGTTAAAATATTTGTAATTATGTGTTTGGATATAAACTAGCCTATTTTCTAAATTTTTAAAGCGATTAAATCCGGCAAAAATACGTTTTCGAAGCTTATATCAAGCCCACACAAATATTGCCACTGATACGGTTAGGAATTTGCTACGCTTCCTACTACGGTTTTCTAAAATTTTTTGTGAAAAAAGAGCACAAGGCAACCCAGGTTTGCAACAGAAATATATGCCCGTTCCATTATTTCTTGAGGAAAGAGTGAGGCAACAGGCTATGAAGTATCAAAAATGTCAAAATTCCTTGGACACACACGCGAAATAATGGACATTTTTTCTTGACCGTTTTTTTCTTGAGAGCTGCATACAGGGCTTTAAACTTTAAAACTGTGGTCGGCGCTTCATACCACAATTCAAGGTGAATTTATACAAGGTGGTGTTCGAGAACGGAAAAAACCTGAAAGTTCCGGGTTCGAATCGTCACATACGATATCATACTACTCGTCACGTAAAAACTCATTTTTCGGATTATGACATACGTGAACGTACTCTTTGTCCCATTTAGTTTATACTGCCTGACGTATCGCGTACTTTTCTTTCGTATCGTTTTCCGGATTTTTCGATTGGAGCCCTGGTTAACTTGGAACAATTAACAGATACACGAACGCAACCAAAGAACGTAAATGTATAAGAAGCGACAACTCGCTAAAGTCAGCGAGTGAGGTCTGAAAGGTTGAGATGAGGAGTTCGCGTCGGTTTTAACATCCACTTTCGTAAATGAATTCACGGCGATAAAGAACGTTGAGGAAAAGTGATCGATGATAGAAATAATAAAACAAAATTAAAAAAAACATGGCCGCAGCTCTTTTTGTTTATTTGCAGACGGCATTTAACAATTTGCGTGCGCATGTGCATAGATTTACTTTGTTTTATAATTTTATACATATAGGCCCTGTGCCAATTGATAGAAAATAGAAAATTTTGACGGATCAAAGTAAAAATTTGACACTTCTCGTGGTGAATACGAACGTCAAAATTTTACCTAGCTCATGGGGCTAGGTAAAATTTTGACAGCTTATAACCATGTATACACATAATATTGCTTGGCGGTAATAAGGAGTGAACATGAAAATGAAAGCTGAAACAGCATAAAAAAAGCGTACGTTACTTGCAAATTATAAAATAAATATAAATTTTAAGAATTTCAGCAACACACAAAAATAAAGCTTTCTCACGAGCGTTTGTTTGGTTTTTCAACTGTCAAAATTTTACTCTGCTTTTGGCACAGCAAAATTCAATTTATTTGTACACCATAGCAAATATTTCCACCCCGTCTCACCACGGATAAAACAGTTACCGATTGGCACAGGGCCATATAAGTAAATTAAATTCATGCGCTAGGCAAGACTTTTATAAACTACCTCTTTACTACATTTACGTTCTTTGTACATTTACGTTCTTTGGTTTGGTTTTTCAAGACCATTTATAATTTTCTTTTATAAAATCACCATTTGTCAACTGCTTAAATTTATTTATTAATAATATGCAGTACACAATCCTGAAATCTAAGAAAAGCTTGAGGAAGGTAATTATATAGCAGCACATAACCCAGTGCCTTCCTCAAGGGTGAATATAGCTACAACAACAATCCAAAAAGGTTGGCTACTGTCTATACTGTGGTTTTTCAATTGACATGACTTTTTTCAATGCCAGCTGTCATCCACGCTGTCACTTCGCATACTACAAAAGTTAAAAACTTTTTCGTGTCGCGTTTTTGTTGCGTATTTTATACCAATTTTAATCGCAAATAATACTTTTGCTATCAGTTAAAGATTTTAGGCAGGACGGTTTTTATTTTTCCTTGCAACTAGTAAAAAGCGAACGCGAATTTATAAAAAAACGTAAAACTCTTGGAGGATTCTCACTACCAACGCATAAGATCCCATAAATTCTATTTTGCATACCTTCCCTCGTTCCAAACAAGCATCTGTTGCATTACAACTGTCCAAAATGAGCGAAATTGACAAATCTTCCCATGAAGCAGCCGCAAGAAAGCAGTCTTCAACTGAGGATAACGAACATGATGCATGCGTACTTTGTTGCAAAGAAGTGGATATCTATTCTATTGGCGAATGTGATCATCCTATCTGTTTTGAGTGCTCCACCCGCTTGCGCGTACTTTGCGAGCAGAATGAGTGCCCCATTTGTCGGCAAGTGCTGTCCAAAGTAAGTACAAAAGATTGATACTGTTTTGTATATAATAGCCTTAGATACTACAATCCAAATTTCGGTATATTTTTGCCTAAACACAGGTAATTTTTACGCACGATAAGCTGCCCTACCGGGAACTTGAAGCTAAGAATCGTTCCGGCTACTACAGCAAAAAGTATAAAATCGGTTTCTATTCAGCGAAGATCCAACAGGCCTTCTTCAATTTACTAGACCATCCGTGCCCTAAGTTAGTACTTCATTTTGATTTTTGGACCTAACGCTAAGAACTTATCCTTTTTTTGCAGATGTAATGTGCCACCCTTTCGAAGATTTAGTGATCTTGAATATCATGTGCGTAAAGAACACGATTTGCATTACTGCGATCTTTGTATTGAACATTTGAAGATATTCACCTTTGAACGTCGCTGCTACACACAAGCGGAACTTGGCTTACACCGCACCAAGGGAGATCGTGATAATCGCTCCCATCGGGGGCATCCGCTATGTGAATTTTGTAAGAAACGTTACTTAGACCGCGATGAGCTATTTCGACATAAACGTCGTGATCATTACTTTTGCCACTTTTGTGATGATGAGTCCAATGATTTCTATAGGTATTACAAACTTAAATATTTTAAAAGTTAGCGAATTAACGTATTTTTTTCTTGTGTTCTGAAGGGACTATGATGCTTTAGCGAACCATTTCCGTGAACGGCACTTTCTTTGTGAAGAAGGGCGGTGTGCTACTGAACAGTTTATTGGCGCATTTCGCACTGAAATTGATTATAAGGCTCACTACGCAAGTGCTCATGGCAGAAATTTGAATAAACAGGAGTCCAAGAAAACACGCACAGTGCAATTAGAAATAACACTGGGTCGACCAGCACGTCCCGGCCTTGCTGATGGTGGACTTACCAATGTTCGTTCGCGTGTGTAAGTATTAAAAAAAGGCTATTTTAATATTTCATACTTTGTAAATGCTTTCTAAAATTTTGTAAATTGTTCTTCGACCGTCCAAACTAGCCCCGAGGACAATTTCCCCGATGCTACACAGGCCTTTTCTTCTCAGGGCGCCCATCAGCGCTCAATAACTATAGATAGGAGTAATGAGGAAGATTTTCCTTTGTTGGGTGGAAGCAGTGGAGGACCCAGTGTGTCCTTGGTACCAGCACCGTTTGTACGCCTACGAGGTGCTACTTCCGGTCTAGCTCGTACGAAAGAAAACTTCCCAGCTTTAGGAGCCGGTGGTGGAGGAGGTAAATTTCTGCATATGTTGACATTTTTTGAGCAACATAACCATTTTGGAATAATTTTTTTTTTAGAAAGTAGCACACAGTCACATCAATCTGCACCACCTATATCCACGGTATTGCGTAAAGCACCTGCGGTATCTACCGGCGCTGGTAGTCGTACTACAGGTAGCGGCGGAGGAAATACGGACCCCATGGTACTTCATGTATCCAATAGACCAACGTCTAGTGGAGCACACAATAGTGGCGCTGTTGCAAAGAAGTCCAATACCTTAGACTTTCCAGCTTTACCTTCGTCGAGTAAATCGAAAAAGAATGCATCCCGTACACCAATCGATGAAGATATGTTACCATCAGGTGCGCATATACCGTTATCAAATGTGGCGGCCAAACATCGCACACTAGTTGATGACTATGTGTCGGTAGCTAATCCAAATAGCTTTCGGAAGATCCAAACTGTACAAAAAGAAGAGCTCGAAGCAAAAAATCGCAAAGCTGCTGAGCAAGCGAACGCGCCAAAACTAACATCACAGGACTTTCCCTCGCTGGGTGGTGGCACAGCTTCAAGATCGGGACAAGCACTGCCTAATAATTGGGCAAAAGCGCCAAAGCAGTCAGATAAAAAGCAACGCGAATTGGAGAATCGCAAAGCTAAAGTAGCACCAGCACCAGTGTTACCAAAAGAAAACCAGAAGCAAACAGCTAATGCAACGAATAAAAAACTAACATCACCAGCTGTAAGCAATAGTATAGCAGTCGCAGCTGCTACGGTACAAAATGCCTCAAAAAAAGAGAAAAAATCTAAAGATAAAAAGGATAAATCTGCCATTGAAAATAAAAACCAGCCGCAGACGTTGAATGGAAAGGGAAAAGATAAAAACAGCAATGCATCACCTAAACGTGGTAATAGATCCACATCTCCGCCTTTATCACTTGTCAATGGCAGAGAGGATTCTCTGCAAATGCGACCGCCACCTGGATTCGGCAATCAGTCTGTATGCGCGCAACCACCACCTGGTTTTCAATCAACCGACGTAACAGTTAATTCTATAGCTAAATCACCTAACAACTTAACATTTACCAACTCCTTCGGAGAGCGATATAGCATTGTGCGCACACATCCATATATACAACCAATAGATGCAGCCATTCGCAATCAGGTAATAATTGATGTCACGTCTTACCATCTACAGCAAATATGTTCGAAAAACCATGACAAGCAGGTTTGGGAAATTCTGTGAGCGATTTCTTCTACACCATAGGTGGGCAGGGGCAGGAGCTTAGCTAGATAAGCAGTTGAAACGCAAATGGCCTTGGAAGACTGGATGAAAGCAACACGTCTTCCTGACCTTTTTGTGCCTAGATAATGAAGATAATACTTTCATTTAAGCAGTACAAATCGCTAAGTGTAGACGACTTGTGATCGGTGCTTTCCTAGGAAGGACACGATCTTACCTTCGGCGGTAAGCCCATGCCAAGTTCTTTCCTAAACTAGGCAAAATATATCAAACTCTATCAAAATCCCTAAGGCGATTGAGAAAATCATAAACAGTCATATTATTTGGCTTCCCGATACGGGAAGGGATGAGCGATGGTAGGTCCGCAACGGAAAATGCCCCATGAGTAAGGAGGTAGAGTCTCTTATGTCTTACATTGACATCACACATCAGTATCGGCTTTCTATTAGATGACGGATAATGAATGTCTTTCATATCCATCTTCAACGGTCTCTGGCGGCTTCCATAAATCTTTTGTAAAAGGTGGAGTATATATACGGGCCTATTCCTACACCAATGACAAAACTTATCGCCTGACGTACAAGAGAAACCGGTTTGTCTCCAACAAAATTTGATGAGGGATAACGGTAATACCTTTCAAAACATCAACCGAAAAGAAAATTATTAAAGATACAGTGATCTTAAGAAGACTGGAGAAGAAAATCAAAACCAAGATTCTCATACCCCAGTTCAATAGCGATAATATGGTCAAAGGAAAAATCTCTNACGGTCTCTGGCGGCTTCCATAAATCTTTTGTAAAAGGTGGAGTATATATTGAAGAATAAACTAGGCTGGAGAAAGTATTGAAGAATAAACTAGGCAGCATGGGCGTAGCCAGGTAGGGGCAGGGGGGTCCTCGAGCCCCCCTAACTTTCAAATTTTGCTTATATATATATAAAATAGTACCCTGAAATGCCAGCTTAATAGGGTCGAACCCCCCCCCCTAAATTTCATTCTGGCTACGCCGATGCTAGGCAGCATTGCAGCTTAAAACCAGGAATTTTAGAAAATACCCTAATATATTCTGTACTATTTTATTATCGCTAGACGATTAGTTTTCAGGTTTTAATAAACCTAAGTGCACATCCTCCATTATATCTATGTAATATTAAATTTAATTTAAATGCATCTCAAACTGTATTATTCTAGAAACTAGTTTCCCACTTTCAAGATGCCTTAAAGTCGCCCGAAGCCATGGAAGAATTTCGACACATATCGCAAAAATTCAGGGAAGGTGTCTACAAGACCCTGCCTTACTACGAGCATTGTCAGGCTGCACTAAAGGAAAAATTTGATGACATATTCCCTGAGTTATTAACGCTTTTACCAGACATTAATAAACAACAAGTAAGCGTTGTAAATTAATTATAACGTAGGGAGCAGTTGTAGTAATTGCATTTTTCTCTTCAGGAATTATGTCTGGTGCACTCGCAATACTTGAACAAACTTTCGCCTGACAAGAGGAAACAAGTTCAGAAATTAGATGTATGCGCGTTATGTAAACAAGTGTTGTTGCCCAGCGATGCGGAAAGCCACCGAAAGCAGCATGAAGTTAAAGAAAACTTTCCTATGCTTGGTAATGACAATGGCAGCAGTCTCGCCAAGTCTGCTGCAGCTGCGAATACAAATCAACGTAAGTAGCTTAAACGTCGCTAAGTTAACATAGTGGAATATAACAAAATCAAATGTGACACACAATTTTAAGCTGCAATCAACAAAAGTACGCCAATATGTGCATTATGAATTTCCATTAAATTTGCTATATCACTTTAAATAATAAAACAACGATACCAAACATGCATAACAGCACTCGGGGCTCCTATTTATGCGCTCTTTTTCGTGCAACATTAATCTCTTAAGCTATCGACAGTGTGGTCCAATGCATGGCATTCAACTGAAAAATCATCAGAATGATTGGAGATAAATCATTGCACAAAAAATAATAGTTTTTGTGATTAACTAAGTATTGAATTATGTAGTTTAAAATGCATAGCGAAAATACTATGGTAAAGACATGTAATGTAATTTAAAGCAATAGCCCCTCTAATTTTTAATGTCTGTAGAAATTTAATTTGATTAAAGCAATTGCACTATACTACATACATACATGCATGTACATACGTAAAATAGTTAAAATGTAAAAAAAAATAGCTCGATATAATAAAATGAGTGGAGATTACTTAAGAACAAATAAAATATGCATATACATATGTAATAATAGATTGGCGCTTACCTATATGTTAGGATTTGGCCGAGCTTCTCCTCCGATTTGTGGCATACGCCTTGATGTTTTCACACAAAGGGGAGGCACCTACAGTTTTATGCCGACTCTGAATGACGATTGAATTTTTATGAGAAGCTGTTTTTCATGGCAGGAATACACTCGGGGGACTTGCCATTGATTGCCTGTTTTTTGATATTGGTCGGAAACCGGGCTTGAACGTAGGCCCTGTGGAATGGTAGTGCGCACTGCAAACCACTACACCGCAGCGGCCGCCAAAGATATGTAGATCAGATAAGGATATGATATGATATGTTAAAGGTAGTGTGCAGAAAATTGCATTGTCTACACTGATCTTCCCTGAGATGTGAAAAATCGATATAATCATTCCGCTTCGTAAACAAGGTAGCCTTGAGGTAAAATCACTGACTATATCACCGCACTTTAAAACTTCTTCATAGCTGCCATCTCTGCTAAAAAATATACCGCCACACTCTTCATCCTATGGACCGAGGGGATTAGGCTAGAACTCGACGCGTACGGCGATGGCGCCAAATTCCGACGGTGAAGCACCTCAAAGGCTGGGTGACTTCCAGCTTCTTCTACGCCTACTCCGTCACTTGCAATAACTACCTGCCAGGAAGTCGCTAGCCCTGTTGAGCCGACAAAGAAACCCTGTTAGCAACTTACACGACGATGGGCCTTTCAGTGGCTAACTATGCTGTGGCAGTGTGGTCAGCTGGATCGCGACGTCTGCAAATATGCCAGAACATAGCTTTACATACGACTACAGGCTGTTATCTCATTTGCTGATGCTGAAGCAACACAACATACTGTTATCACCCCGAAAACGTTCTGCTTCGAAATCCTAATCCTAATTCGAATCCTAAGCTAACTCTCTCACTCAGAACTCTCTCACTCAGAAGTGGCAAAAGTCTGGCCGACACACAACTCTCAATACCTCCAACTCGACGGCCCTTACACTGAAAGAATTTTACACTACACCTATCGACGTTGTCCGCTTTTCTACAACAGCCGGTTCTACGTACCGGAATAACTCTGATTTTACTCGATCAAGGGCTGTTGTTTCGGCGATCTAACCCTGTTTAGGTCGATGAAATCTCTTAAACGTTCGTCCATAAGGCAGAAGCTGCTCCGCATTCTACTGCTCAGGGCTGACATCGAGTCAAACCCTGGACCAGAAACCCAAACCTGCTACGTATGCCAGAAACGATCACACCCAATCTCCATCTCAGTCATGCGCAGTTCGACACCAAGTCACCTCAGAACTTGCTCAGGTCTTAGACCTCATCGGCACACTACACAATAAAGGACGACGCACCCACCAGGCTCATGGGCAGCTGCAGCTGCTCGCCTGACATAACAATTGTAAGCGTATAACGTGGCGTCCTATGCTGACGTTAGCATCGGACCATCTGCCCATACTCATCTCGATCGATAAAACTGCCGACCTCGGTACACCGAAACTATGTCTTCGCTGCCCTACTCACACCTAGCGACGTTCACGTAAGTTCCGCTGGGTTGTCACTGCTAGTGCAGCCCTCTTTGTTCCTTCTGGATGCATTTCGGATAAATGCCTGAACTTTCCAGCTGAATCAACTGTGCTAGCCTTCGTCAGGCCGATTCTGGAAATCCCCGCATCAGAGATCTCAACAAGGAGATTCGGCAGCTTGTGAAGGTATATAAGCGGAATAAGTGAGAGGAGTATCTGAAGACTTGCAAACTTCACCTCTGGTGTGAGCAAGTTTTGGTCAACTCTGAGTTCATTGTCCAATCCGACGAAGCGCGTCGACATAGTGCAAATCTTTTTCGGTGATCACGATTTGTCAACACGGATCGATGCACGAGCTATTTTAGCGGATAGTTCACGCTGCATCCTCCGGCTGGCTTTCACCAGCGGAGAGTTTCAGGTAGCCATCGGAAGGCGAAATTCTCCAAAGCCATAGACGTTTCACACCGTCAGCCACTCCACGGTCCTAGAAGACATTAAAGCTTCCTCTCTCCCTCAGGGACTCAAACGGTGGTCAGCGAATTATCTGAGTGGTTGACACCGTCAGTAATTTTTAGAGACAAAACCAGCAACCAAGGAAAATTAAACAGGGTGTCCCGCAAGGTTGCGTCCTTTTCCCGCTTCTGTTCACTTAATATATCTCAAAGCTCGCCCAACCAACAGAGGGAGTATCTGTTAAGTAAGATGAAAGTAAACGGTTACCTCTCCAAACTTTCCCGCTTCTTCATTACAAGGAAATGAACCATCTTCCCTACAAAATCTTCGGCAACCGTTTTTACCATCTAGATCAGACCTCTGCTTTAGAAGGCAGTGAAAGCTTCATTCAACCACACGACATGTTCGCACGCATACAGTGTCATCAATTGCACGCACACTACAAAAATTATCTGTCGAAGCTGCCCACCTCTGATCTAGATGAAGGAGGTCAGGCTGCAGCTGGAAATTTACGTCGATGGCGAACTAATACCGACGGTGAATAACCCAAAAATTCTCTGAGTTACCGTCGATAGTCTGTTCTCCTCGGCGCACAAGACAAAGAACCTTTGCTGGCAACATACAGCAGCGCCCGTGCGGAAGCCTGGGACCAGCAGCACGCAGGGGGCGAAGCTACAGACTTGCCAAAACACGGTACTCCGGACATCCACAACATACAGCAGCGCCCGTGTTGAAGCCTCGGACCAGCAGGATGCAGGGGACGAAGCTACAGACTTGCCAAAACACGGTACTCCGGACATTCACTGGATGCCTTCTGATTTCGCAACAGCACCATCTACAAAATAAGGCTCAGATGCTCCCCGTCGGGGCGCATAACACAATGCTCTATAGGTAATTCCTAGTAGGGTGTCACATTCGTGGGTACCCGACCAGACCCCTGCTTGCAACAGAGCCCTCGCCAAGGCACGTCAGGAGGCTTCTATACGAACTGACCTACGAAGTCCAGAGGTTCATAAAGCAACCTCTTGTCTCGACAGCATACCGAGAGGCCATAAACGGCATTATCTGGGATTTGGTTTCTACTTAAACCGACTCCCGTCCTGTGAAAGCCGAGAGAGAACTTCGTTTGCCTCAGGAGACTCGCACCACCATAGCCCAACTTCTCTCTGGCTACTGCAGCAGGCTAAACTCCTACCTGAGTAAGATGAATGCAAATGTGCCCAACGAGTGCCCGGCGTGTGGAAAGTCACTGCACGACCCGAAACATCCCTTCGTATGTCACCCTAGACCCATGCAACTAACACCCTTGTCCTTATGGACTGACCTTCCTGGGTCTCCGGTTAGTTGAGCTTGACGAGAACGATTGAGGGACAAGCCGATCTAGGCACGGCTGGGTAGTTGCTTAAGCAACAACAACAGTAACGTCGTCCGCTTCCTCGACCTTAGATACTGCTGTATTATTCTTGAAACCGGTTTCCCGTTTTTAAGATGCCTTAAAATCGCTTGAAGCCATGGAAGATATATAAGCTTTGTATGCGGTTTGTGGTTAGCGCTGCGGAATTCACTCAGTTCTATTATTGGTCTGCGGTCTGCGATATCAAGACGTATTTTCAGTGTGGTTCTCCAAAGTCTGCCTTAATAAGTGGTTTCAGAAGGGGGATGATCTCTCCTTTTTTCCTATAACCCGGGGAATGATCACGGAGAACAGTGATTATTTTCACGCTGCTATGAGGTTTCCTCAGACTGCATGGGAATTTACTCTTGGATCTAATGACTTGGAACATTTCGCGAGGTTTCCAGCAGTCTGTATCTCTCTGCTAGTAAGGCACGGTAATGTGTGTCGGGCGCGGAGTTATTGTAATTCGCGGGTCCGACGATAATGTATTGGCAAATGAGAGGGCTCCGTTTTCTTTATGCAGTGTTTGGTTTGGAAAGAGATAATTTATTGGTTGCTCGTTTCGCTTTCCCTTAATGAGATCGTTGCAGCGGGGAACTACAGAATTAATACGTCGAATGCGATTACAAACATCTTCGAGTTCTGCCGCATCGGCTAGGAACTTAGGGCAAACCTCGGGGATGTTACCAGCGGAAATGAAGCGGTCAGCTACGTTAATAATCCTGCGGATATAGCGCTTAGCCAACCAACGCAGCAGGTCCCGGATAACACAACAAGTTATATAAGAGTTTTATAGAGGTATACTTCCGCAAAATTGAAGAACAAATACTATATCATTTTGCTCTATAAAAAAGACTATAAAACCCTTACAAAACCAAAAGGACCCCAGGAGGCAGGAGTAGAAAATAATGCTCTATTATTAGTTTATAAATCGAATGTTGGTAGTTTTATAAGGATCTTATAATAGTCTACAGCATAAGTTTACAAAACATTTAAAAGTTTTATAAGGATCTTTGTGTAGAGTCAATGGTCTGGCACTGATTAAAAGTTCTGCGGCCAGCGCCTTATAAGGCCTTCAAATGTTTTATAATGGTACAACATACCATTTATAAAGCAATAAAAGAGGAGCATTTTGCACTTTTCTAATGCTCACACAGAAGTCTATAACATCAGCTTATAACAACTTTTGGTCTAAAGATTCACTCTGCGACGCTCCTTTTTTAAATTGAAAAGTATAAAAAATAAATAGAAAGGTAAAATATTATGGATAAATATCTTTCGAAGGAGAAGTAGTTATGAACGGAAATAATTTTCTCTTCCTGAAATATTTTATGAAATTCAATTTCAGTTGAATAATGATTGAAGGATTTTGTCTTATTTTTTTGGCATTTCTCCTAAATGTAATTTTATGCATGATAAAAATATAGTAAGGTAGAACCGCTGAGAGTCACTTTTAAAATTCTTGACGTTTCCAAACAATTTAATTTTTAAATTTTCTCACAAACTCACACACACATTTTCATTTTCAATCTCAAGCAACAACAATTTCGAACAATTTCATTTTTTTATTTTCACATTTATATGATTTTAAAATGTTGGCAAACATC